TCTCTCTCTCTCTCTCTCTCTCTCTCTCTCTCTCTCTCTCTCTCTCTCTCTCTCTTTCTGTGTGTGAGTGTGTTGACGTGGACGTGGGCGTGGGCGTGGGCGTGGGCGTGTGTGTGTGTGTGTGTGTGTGTGTGTGTGTGTGTGTGTGTGTGTGTGTGTGTGTGTGTGTGTGTGTGTGTGTGTGTGTGTGTGTGTGTGTGTGTGTGTGTGTGTGTGCGTGCGTGTGTGCGTTTGTGCGTGCGTACGTGCGTGCGTGTGCGTGTGTGCATGTGTGCATGTGCGTGGGCGTGGGTGTGTGTGTGTGTACGCGTGTGCGTGTGTTACCGTATCTCACCCATTAAATATAAATCCGCAGATATTACAGTACCAACACACCAGTACGTATTCGATAGACGAAAGAAAAGCAAGGCGATTTTGGGGAATAGGAGAGGAGGAGACAGTCAAGATCCTTACAGATAACTAATCTAATGCCAGAATGCGATTAGATTCCCCATGTCCTTCTCATTTCCCTTAACAAACGCGTGTCTCAGCCGTCTCTCTGAGTGATTCGTGCGTACTGATAACCTCACACTGAAAGGTGAACATAATGATAATAACAAAACTAACCGCAGACAGACTCCTTATGGACGAAATCTGCAGACTACACCGTGCCACAGTGCCTCTGGATGATAGGCCTATGGTCCGCCACAGTGCCATTTTATGATTTTTGTAAGGAAGTCTTGGAGAGGAGGATCGTACAGCCGACAGCACCGAGATTAAACAGCTGACTGGTTGGACTGGCTCTAGCTTGGGCTTCGTTGACGAGGCACCAGTAGGGCTCCTTGTGGAACCTCGTGTCATTGTTTTTTAATGTTCGTTCTCTCTTGTTCTTTCTCTCTGTCTATCCAGGTCTATCCATCTATCTGTCGTTTTTTTTCTCTCTAAGTCTATCTATCTATCTATCTATATCTATCAACCTCTCTCTCTCTCTCTCTCTCTCTCTATATATATATATATATATATATATATATATATATATATATATATATATATGTGTGTGTGTGTGTGTGTGTGTGTGTGTGTGTGTGTGTGTGTGTGTGTGTATTTATCTTTCTATCACTCTGTCTTTGTATGTATCTATCAGTCTGTTTGTGTATATATCTATCGTATCAATCCATCCATCTATCTATATCTGTAAATCTATTTATTTGTCTGTTATCAGTTGTGCCTTTTCTCTCATTTATGTTTTTGCTGATTTCTTTTTTCTTTTTTATCTTTCTGTCTCGCTCTTTTACGTTTTCTTTTTTTGCCTACCTATCCCCCTGTTTCTCTTTCTGTCTCTCTCTTTTACTTCTTCTCCCTCGTTCTTTACCTCTCCACTGTGTGTGTGTCTCACCCTTTCGCTCATCCTCTCTCTTCCCTGTATTAAATCTTAACATATTCCGAACTGGCACCTCCCAAGGACATGCTATATAAGGCATAGCAGGAATAAAGTAAAACGAAAAGATACAGATTTTTTTAATATTTCATCAGTTTCACACATTTCAAGATTGATATTTATTGCAAATAACGAGTCTATAAATAGTAATCGCAACTTACTGGGGCATGATGGTGCACTGTTGCTAGGCAAGGGTCGTAGGTAGCCAGTAACATACCGTATCTTTTTTTTTTTTTTTTTTTTTTTTTTGTAAACTATCATTGATACTGTTAGCGACGTTAAAATTCTGGGGCAGTGTCCTGAATACCGCCCTTCATATCTTTAAAGTGTTTACAATTGTGTGAATAATAACAATAATAGTAATTAAGGATATCATTTGCGTTGTATACAAAGATTATGAATATTGTAAATGATGGTTATTATGATAGAAATTGATAATAATGTTGGCAATAACTATACCAAACGCGAAATAGCTATCATTGTTATGATAATCATCACTATTGTTGTTATCATTATTAATACTATCATAAACATTATCAACATCATCATCATCATTAATCTTATTACTGTTCTTGTCAATACCTTTTTACCCTTATTAGTATTAATATTGCTCAACTTATCAGTATCATTATTAATATTGTTATTATCATTATTGTCATTATTACTGTTATTATCGTTCATATTATTTCAATTCTATTATAATCATTATCATTATTTTTATATTATTATCTTTAATGCTAAACCTCTGCCGCCGGCGATGACATTTGCATGCATACATGCCAAGTCCACCGTGAGTTTATATATATATATATATATATATGTGTGTATATGCGTATGAAGGGGGATGAGTGTGAATGGATGTGTGTGTGTGGGTGTGTGTGTGTGTGTGTGTGTGTGTGTGTGTGTGTGTGTGTGTGTGTGTGTGTGTGCATACATATATGTAAATATATATGTAAACATATAAGTAAATTTATAAGTATGTAAATATATATATAAATATATACATATATATACCTACACACACACACACACGTGTGTGTGTGTGCCTGTGCGTGTGTGTGCCTTAAAGTCCCGGCAGATCCTTGCGAGCTGTTGAGACTTGTTTGACGTCGCAGATGAAGATTAAGTGTTTGCTGGAAAGGGGTGTTCCGGCCGTGCGTGGCTGTGTACTATGTAGGTCTTCTATTCTTTGTTCTTGGGAGTTCCCTTTCGGTGTGGATGATGAATGTGTTGAGGATGTAGTCTGACTCTGGAATAACCATGTGAGTTTGGTTGACTACCATGATTTATAACTTACAGAATAGTTTGAGAATGAATTTGTTGGTAGAGCATGGTATCTTCCGCCTGGATTACTGTAATAGCAGGCAGGCTTCTCTTATCCCTCCATTATCAAACACCAAAGTCATCTCTTTTTTCATTGCAAAGTATGTTTATCCGGTGTTTGTTGCTGCTCCGTCTCCTGCTTGTTTGTTAAACCATATGATTTTTAATGGGTGTCTAGAAGGCTTTGAGTGATGAAAGAGGGCGTGTCCATTTGCTGTACTATTTTCTGTTGGTATACTTGTTTTTCTTGTCAAATCCGGGTTGATATGTTGCAGGAGATAGTTACGGTACTTTGCTGCTGATCCTTTTTCTGTATATGTAAATAGGTCTTATTTTGTTTGACACCATCTGCCAGGTCCCCAAGATTTAGTGAAGACCTAGCTTGCCGTTAATAATTTCTTCTGTTTGGTGTTATATATAGTTCTTGGTAGTTTGGTAAAAGGTTGCCGTTTTCGCGTTGGAGATTATTATAGTACCTCTATCTCTGGCATTTCGGCAAAGAAGAGTCTACGTTCCTCTCGGTGTGATATGCCTGCTAGGAAATCAAACTACTGCAGTTCTGTGAGTTTTCTCCCAGTAAAATGTGAACTCCAGGACTTGTATTACGTAGAAGTGCTTGCTCATGAATGCAAAGTTGTATTGGTCGATTAGGTTCTGTTTTCGTAGTTTGTCCTTATTGTTGGGTATCTCTTGGTTTACGGTGGTGTGGAGTTGTTTTAGGTATAGGGATCTCGAGTGCTCGTTCAGTACAACCCATTTCTGGATTGCAGCTCCATTACAGTTGTTGAGTGACGACGAATGCCAGGTGTTGATGTTTGTCTTATTTTTCCATATTATCTGTTATATAGACATTGAATTTGATTTCGATTATGTGGTTGTTTATTGCATTAGCATCCATTCCTTCTATGTTGTGTGTTAGGTCCTGGTTTGTTTTATACCAGGGCAGAATTAGAATCGTTTGATGTGACTCATTCTTTACAGCTGCAGTTGTTTCTCGAAATTCAGTGCATCTGTTCTCTTTTGTATCGCTTGGTGCGGTTTGATGTATGTCTTTTCCATTTGATCTGTTGATGGTATGTGTGTGTTGATCTAGTTGACTACTATCTTCCTAGTTGATTGGGAATATTCCGTCAAGATTTCTATAATGATCTGTCTTCTTACTCTACTTATTACTTTTAAGAGGAGCATGGACTGTGTCTGTACTGGGGCGTTTGAACTTCTGGGTTCAGGTTTCTCGATGGTTCTGGTATTCTGTCCAAGTACCTCCCATGAACTTCTCTGTTGTTTCCATTCTGGTCTTCTCCTCTGCTTTTCTCTGCAGCTTCGTCATGGTATGGTTTTCTATTGGATATGTTTTTGGACTTGTCGTTCCTGTTGTTGCCGTTGTAATTCGGTCGATGTCGTGTTGGATTGTTGTTTCCGTTTACCGCCGAGACTGAGCTTGGTCCTGCTTCTGCATATGGTATGACGCGATTCTGCCCACCGTATGTCTTCTGTTTTTTGTATGGGCTTTGCGATTTCGTTATTCGTTGATACATTGTGTTCATGTTATCCCGAAGCGTATCCATCTTGTTATGCATTCAGCCGAGCTGTTTCCTTGTCCCTGGGTTCTGATATTTCTCTGGAAGTAATTGTGTCTAATTCCGGCATTCGTCCAGACTGCTGTAGATACAAGACCGATCCAGTAGTTGATTCACTTGTCGTGTCGTGTCCATGTGCTTCCCATTCTTCATAATAATTAAGAATTCTTACTGTGGTGCTTTTATCCATCCCATCTGGTGTTCTTCGGATGTGTTGATTTTGTGTTTCTCTTTTCCTGTGATCGGAAGCGAAGAGTGTTTCGTCCGAGTGAGGTTGGAAGGAGCTTTGATATCGGAAGATAAGATTGTTGAGAATCTGTCGGAAGAGTGGTGTTTGTAAATTTTATCGGATGGATGATAGGACGAGTATTTTGGTTGAGTTCAGGTTTATATCTATGTTATCTATCTATCTATATATATGTATATATATGTATATATATATATACATATACGCATTCACACACATACATATATACATACATACATATATATATAATATATATATATATATATATATATATATATATATATATATATATATATATATATATTCATACATACACACACACACACACACACACACACACACACACACACACACACACACACACACACACACACACACACACACACACACACACACACACATATATATATATGCATACATACACTACACATACATACATATATATATATATATATATATATATATATATATATATATATATATATATATATACACATATATATGTGTGTGTGTGTGTGTGTGTGTGTGTGTGTGTGTGTGTGTGTGTGTGTGTGTGTGTGTGTGTGTGTGTGTGTGTGTGTGCATGCATATGCATATGTAGATAGAGAGATACAGATATAAATATATATGTAGATATAGATAGATATTTATAGATATAGATATATAGAGAGAAAGAGATAGAGAGATGAGTGTGTGTGTGTGTATTTATATATATGTATATGTGTGTGTATATATATATATATATATATATATATATATATATATATATATATATATATATATATATAATATATATATATATGTACATATATAATTATATGTATATACATACATACATATATATATATATATATATATATATATATATATATATATATATATATATATATATATTTTATCTAACTATCTATCTATTTGTCTATATATATATATTTTTTTTTTTTTTTTTTTTTCAACAGCCGTTCATTCCACTGCAGGACATAGGCCTCTCTCAATTCATTATTGAGAGGTTATATGGCGGTGTCACCCTTGCCTGATTGAATGCCCTTCCTAATCAACCGCGGTTCGGCGCGTTAACACCTGTGCCACGGCGGTGACTTCCCCTACGACACCTGCGTTTGACTTCTCAAGCCGATATGTCGTTTTCTCGGGCTCGAGCTAGCAGTCAGAGCGTAGGCATTTTTTACAACTGCCGCGACGGGGAATTGAACCCGGGACCACGAGGGTCGGAGTCCAGTGCTCTAACCACTGAGCTATCGCGGCAGTATATATA